ACATTTTCGGCACATTTCAAGCATTTTTTGAGCGTTCACGATCTTTAGCCGACGATTTCTTCCTCATTTTTGATCCAAACACTTCTGTGGCAGTGACGCAATAATTGTCATTCTTTTTACATGATGTGGACATAACCTTATTAAACGCTCATAAACAATTGTTTATATTGAGTACATAAACAATTCATCTTATCCATATATGTTCAATGGTTGTCAAAAAACTACTTATCAGTAATAAATAAGTGTCTCCACTTTGCTGAACGTTTGCCAAAGAACGCAATAACACTTTGAGAAGAAATGGGAACAAATTGTTTATTATTGTCGTTCCGAAATGGTGTTCGGAAAATTCTGTTCAACAGGCCCGAAAAACGGAATGCTTTTAATGGGGAAATGTACAAAACATTGACCAATACGCTGAACGATGATGCTCAAAACGATAAGATTGTCGTCACTATATTAACTGGCGCTGGGGCATATTATTCAAGTGGGACTGACTTGAACCCGACTGCAGCAAACGGATCTTTGGAAGACTATATGAAGCTGGTGCAAGCATTTATTGATTATCCGAAACTGCTTATAGGTAATATTCTAATATTTTGATTAAAACATCCAAGCTGGAATGTCTGTGAATTATACAGGGTCGCAAAACATCAGATTCCAAAATAGTAAAGATTGGTCGATTTTGTATATGTATAGAACACAATAGGTATTATCGAAATTGGAAAATTAATAATAGCTGAGATTTAAAAAAGCATCCGCTGCGAGCTCATTAAGCCATATAATATTGTTAAAAAAAGCGACAAATACAGCTTTGTTCAAGTGCGTTGCTTTTTTGCAGCTGTAGTAAACGGACCTGCCATTGGAATAGCAGCAACTACAGCAGTTTTGTGTGATATAATATATGCGTCTGATACTGCTCACTTTGAGACCCCATTTCTGCGGTTAGGATTATGTGCCGAAGGAGCCTCAAGCTACACATTCCCTAGAACTTTAGGACGAAGCAGAGCTTCAGAGATATTATTTCTAAGCAAGAAAATGTCCGCAAAAGAGGCTTGCGATGTGGGATTGATATCCAGAGTTATACCACATAATCAACTGGACAGTTTTATCGACGGCCTTTATGAGTATGGGTCGTTGCCACTTAATGCCGTAAAAATCAATAAGAAATTGATTATGCATGAACTGAAGGGCATTTTAACTCGGGCAAACATCAGGGAATTTGAATCATTGGAAACATGCATTGGCTCTGAAGAATTTGTCAATGCTCTTATGAGTTTTATGCAAAAGAAGAAGAGTAAGTTGTAACTATATATAGGTATAATTAGGTCTTGTATGTTACAACATGGAAACAAAACCGCCTTGTCCATTTCTTAATGTGTTTAACCTCATATTATATATCATTATGATCTACATTGATCAATATTAAATGCATTATTTGAATAAATAGATGAATTTCAGTGGTATCTTCACGCGACCGGAAGGACTTAAATACATATTTGTTAACTGAAATAAAATACATAATAGAGGCATAAATATTTATTTACATGTTCCAACAACATTAGCATTTATTTGTATATATATATAGTTGTGTTATCAATTAATAATGTGACAAAAATGAGCTCTGATTGATCGTTGTGGTCGCACGCAAAATTACTTTTGTAGGAAAACACCATTGCTAATAGAGCTTCATTTAGAATCAAATAGGTTTAGGACGCAATGAAAATTCCCTTCATTGCACTTGCCCGTTGTTTTTGATACGATTTTAGTGGCTGACTAAACAATTTTCGATGTTAGCCTTTTCAGAGGTTACAACTTGATCAAATGCAAATTATAAACTGGAAACTAGTATGGATAATAGTTAGGCGAATTCGCATCTCATCTCACATTAAAAACGCAAAGTCCTAAACTGTGTTATCAAAGCGTCTACGTACTACATAAATAGAAATACAACCAGAAACTCACCGTATTAAAGTACCCACCCGACTTATCTAAAATGCAGCTACAATAAATTATTTATTTCAGGATCATATCTTTTCGATTATGCATTGATCAGTAGCCATATTCCGTTCATGTATACACAAAGTCCGGTTCCACATTTACATCCCATGGTACAGCGAACATGTCCCAAGGTAACGCCACGCAATGAGTCGCTTTGAAATCTTTCATGTACTTTTTTGCCTGCAAATAGTTTATGGCTGTTGCGCTTCTAAATTATTACTTGTATGGCGACTTACCAGGAATAAAATCATTTGGTTTTTTTCTGTCGGACTAAAGTCTTGGCCTATTTTCATTGGGTATGACTTTGAAAATTCGGATATGTATGATTGAAGCAAAGAAGTGCAGATGCTATCATCGATACTGTATTTTTCCAAAATTTTTTCTAAAAATGAAAACAATTTTTTATGGTATTTACAAAATAATCATCTTATGCCAGGAATGCCTGTGGATTCTTCTTGAAATATAAAAGGCGCTCTATCGGGGTTTGGACCACTTTAGAACACCAAGGACTTTTTTGCACGTTTTGTGCCGACTTACTTAATGATCGGCTTTATACAAATACCTTGTAATACTCCTGTAACTGCAAGATATTCATGTAGTAGTTGAACTTGCGGTAGTTCGCACATGCACGGATATCGGGTTTTAAAAATTTTGATCAGCAAATTGTTACATCGATTTGACGATAAATCGCCAGGTCTGCAACAGAAAACCTGTAGGGAAAAAGTGGTGTAAAATTGGCCCTATTCTACCTTATACAAATAACTTCATCTTCAGTTCGCCTAATTAACAACACTGGGCCCGGATACTTCGACAATTGTTCATAGATATCCAAATTAGCGTGCTCTCGTATGGCCAGCTTTACTATCGATTCCAGCCAACTAGGCATTTGACTCAATGCTAAAGGCATAATATCGTCGAAAGTGGCATCGATCACCTACAATTTAAAGTGCTCTCTTCCTATTTAATCAAGCATTATATTTAATAAGCCATTGTAAAAAGCAATATCTCTCTCATTTTGCAGACTTTGTTTCCTGTAGATTAAGAATGCTAAAATAATAACTTAGTTTCGTTAAAACTAATAAATTACTCAGTCTACAGGTGAGAATTCCCCTAAAAATATATATTAACATTTTTTTTTGCTTGAATTTGCTATGAGCTTAAAATTTGCATAAAAATCATAGCAATTAAGTAATCGTAATAAATAATTTACCCTTTAACTCTTAACTTAAAAAAATCCTGTTTTTCAACTTAATGTATAATGAATTTATACTTCATTAATCAACTTTTCCCTTATTGTACGCAAGGGCGGATCCAGGGGGGGGTC